CGGAGGGTCAGCGCTGAGGGAGTGGGCACTGTCGGAGGGTCAGCGCTGAGGGAGTGGGCACTGTCGGAGGGTCAGTGCTGAGGGAGTGGGCACTGCCGGAGGGTCAGCGCTGAGGGAGCGCCGCACTGCCGGAGGGTCAGCGCTGAGGGTGTGGGCACTGTCGGAGGGTCAGTGCTGAGGGAGTGGGCACTGTTGGAGGGTTAGCGCTGAGGGAGCGCCGCACTGTCGGAGGGTCAGCGCTGAGGGTGTGTAGGGACGTGATGTTGGGATCTGAGTGTGGTGATTTTGCTGAGATTTCTGGAATGCCTACACTGTGTCCAGCCACAGTCATAAACTATAGTCTCTTTCTCCCTTTCTTGTAGCTGTCCCCCAACACCCGGTCATCCTCTACGTGCTGTTACTGACAAGCTCCATCTGCATTCTCATTCTGGTTGTAATCTTTGGACTGGCCAAGCCCTCTCGCTGTAGATGCCGCTAACATCGCTCGTGGCTTTCTGTTTCTGCGTCGCTGTTTTCCTTTCCCCGCTATCCATGGCCCGTACAAATCCACAGTCTGACCAAATATAGCTGCACCTTCAATCCACACCTTCCTCCGTCAGACAGGACACCCCATCAGTCTCGATCCACTGACGATGCCTGGTCCTTCCAAGTTCTGTCTTTGATGTGATTTGAATTGTTGTTGGCACTCGTCTCGAGTTACAGTGAGAATTATTGTTCTTTGCGCTCAGCAGACAAGTGATACGTTACCAGTGATCAGGGTTATAGAGCAGAATGCAGCGTTACAGCTGCAGAGCAAGTTCAGAGAAAGATCAATCTCGCACATGAGAGGCCTGTTTGTAAGTTTGTTAAGAGCGAGGAAGAAGCTGTTCTTCAATCTGATAGTACGTGTCTTCAAAGGTTTGTTCTGTCTGATGGAAGAGAGTGGGAGGGGTCTTTGATGATGTCGGCTGATTCCCCAAAGCAGCAGGAAGTACAATGGAGTCAATGGATGGGAGGCTGGTTTGTGTGATGGACTGAGCTGTGACTCTCTCACAGGGATTTGAGGGGGGGGAATGTGGGGCTCACTCTCACAGGGAGTTGGGGGGGGAATGTGGGGCTCACTCCCACAGGGAGTGCTCAAGTTGAATTGTGTTGATGTATTGAAGAGGGGAGAAGTTGGATAAACTCATCAGGGAGAGAAGGAGATGGTGGTGGAGGGGAGAAAGTGAAAGGGGGGAGGAATGAGAGAGGAGACAAGGGGTGGACAACGAGTCAGAATTAGGCTTGCACAGAGTAGAGGGGATGAGTGGCCTCTACCTGAACCATGATGTAAGCACATTGGTTCAAGCAATGCGATGTTTGCCGTCATCATTGTGAATCTCAAGTCATGACCAATTTTACCAGCATGTTGCCCGGTGCCTAGACTTTCTTGTCTGCAAAACGAAAAGTGTTTTAAAGATGGTTGCTCACAGCTGAACACGAATTATCGGGACTTTGAGGGGGAAGGAGATTTCTGAGGCACATCACCCCTAAAGACCACACACTCTGTTGCATTCAATAGTGAACTGATCTACACTTGATTGTTAGCCTGTTCACTGACCCACATTGAACTTGATTGCTTTGCCTTGTGTTCGGACACTGAGATCACTGACACATGAGAATTTTACTGAGTATTCTGGGCTGACAGCACGCATGCAGAAATCTTCTGGACTACTGAGAAATATTTCAAAGTACCCTCAACAAAGCAGTTGGAGGTTTTGATCTGCTTTGCAAGATTAATCAGATATTTATGATTGAAAATTTGACCAAAGATGGTCACTCTAACCCTAATGCTTATTTCTGAGCTGTGAACTGAAAATAGAAAGTGTGTTTTCTTTTAAAAATCAGGGGAGAATGTCCAATGAGGTGTTTGCAGTTTGAGAAATAAAACATGCAAAGCAAAAGGTACATATTCTGGAGCATTCTTTCAGTTAAGTCAGATGCCGTTTAATTTAGATAAATGTGAGGTGCTGCATTTTGGAAAGGCACATCAGGGCAGGACTTATACACTTAATGGTAAGGTCCTGGGGAGTGTTGCTGAACAAAGAGACCTTGGGGAGCAGGTTCATAGTTCCTTGAAAGAGGAGTCGCAGGTAGACAGGGCGGTGAAGAAGGTGTTTGGTACGCTCGCCTTTATTGGTCAGTGCATTGAGTATAGGAGTTGGGAGGGTCATGTTGGGGCTGTACAGGACATTGGTTAGGGCCACTTTTGGAATACTGCGTTCAATTCTGGTCTCCCTGCTACAGGAAGGATGTCGTGAAACTTGAAAGAGTTCAGAAAAGGTTTACAAGGATGTTGGAGGGTTTGAGCTACAGGGAGAGGCTCAATAGAATGGGGCTATTTTCCCTGGAGCGTCGGAGCCTGAGGGGTGACCTTATAGAGGTTTATAAAATCATGAGGGGCATGGATAGGGTGAATAGCCAAGGTCTTTTCCCCCAGGGTGGAGGAGTCCAAAACTAGAAGGACATAGGTTTAAGGTGAGAGGGGAAAGATTTAAAAGGGACCTGAGGGGCAACATTTTCACACAGAGGGTGGCGCGTGTATGGAATGAGCTGCCAGAGGAAGTGGTGGAGGCTGGTACAATTACAACATTTAAAAGGCATCTGGATGGGTACATGGATAGGAAGGGTTTAGAGGGATATGGGCCAAATGCTGGCAAATGGGACTAGATTAATTTAGGATATCTGGTCGGCATGGATGAGTTGGGCCGAAGGGTCTATTTCTGTGCTAATCAACTCTGTTCCTGAGTCAAATTTGTGTTGTCTGCCTCGCAACAATCCTCTGATTGGTCAGCTTGAAGCTTCTCCCAGAACCTGTGTGAGGGGAGAGAAAGGATGGGGAGGTGCCAGTGTTGCACTGGGGTGGTCAAGGTCAGAAATCATACGACACCAGGTTACAGCCCCACGGGTTTATTTGAAATCACAGGCTCTTGGAGCACTGCCCCTTCGTCAGACAAAGGGTCGGGGGTGAGACATCGAGAGACTGGCTTCATTAATCGGTTTCTCAGTTAAGGAATCGCTCTCTCTCTCTGATTTGCAGTAGAGAGCAGGAGTGAAGTACCCTTGGAAAGAATTGATTACAAGCCCCGAAAGGAAGGGAAAGACTTCAGATCCAACTGAATAACCAGTGAACAAAAGAGCAAACACCATGCTACATTGAGAGATTCGGAATAATTGTGTAACCAACACATTTAGTTTTTGTAAGCTTGGACTAGTGAGACAGTAGAACAATCTTTTAGCTATTCCCCTCTGCCCCACATTCCCCCATAATATCTGTGTCTGTTTCCTTGGTGTAATTGCATGTCTGTGTGTATGTGCGGATAGTTTCAAAGAGGTTAGAGTTTAGGCAGTGTACGTTAGACACCCTGTATATTTACTGTTCTTATTAAAATGAAAGTGATGCAATAAATACTGCTTTATTTTTTAACTTTTACTGAAGGACACTTGTATCTTTTCCCTTGGATGGTGTCACATATAGACAGGGTGGCTAAGAAGGCGTTTAGCACGCTTGCCTTCATTGCTCAGAGCTTTGAGTGTAGGAGTTGGGGACATCATGTTGAGTTTGTACAGGACGTTGGTGAGGCCTCTTCTGGAGCACTGTGTCCAGTTCTGGTCGCCCAGTTAAAGGAAGGATATTATTAAACTGGAGAGCCGGTTTCCTCCCATAGTCCAAAGATGCCTAGACCTGCCTGGACTGGAGGGCAGGTCTTAGGAGGAAAGGGTGAGGGAGCTAGGGCTTTGTTCATTGGAGCGAAGAAGGATGAGAAGTGACTTGATAGAGATGTACAAGATGTTGAGATGCATAGATAGAGTGGATAGTCAGAGGCTTTTTCCCAGGGTGGAAATGACTATTACGAGGGGGCATAATTTTAAGGTGATTGGTGGAAGGTATAGGGGAGATGTCAGAGGTAGGTTCTTCACACAGAGAGTGGTGGCCGTGTGGAATGTGTTACCGGCAGTGGTAGTGGAATAAGATACATTAGAGACTTTTAAGCGACTCTTGGATAGGCACATGGAGGATCATAAAATGTAGGGTATGCAGGATAGATTGATCTTACTAGGATAATAGGTCGGCACAACATCGTGGGCTGAAGGGCCAGTACTGTGTGTTGTACTGTTCTATGTTCTATGTGCAGGTTAGGTGGATTGGCCATGCTAAATTGCTTGTAGTTTCCAGGGGTGTGTAAGTTAGGTGGATTAGACATTGGAAGAGCCAGGTTACAGGGAAAGGATAGGGAGATGGGTCTGGGTGGGATGCTCTTCAGAGGGGCAGTGTGGGCTTGTTGCGGTGAACGGCCTGTTTCCACACTGTGGGCATTCTATGATTCTATGAGAGGGTTCAGAAAAGATTTACCAAGACGTGGAGGGTTTGAGTTATAAGGAGGGGCTGGATAGGCTGGGACTTTTTTCTCACTGGAGGTTGAGACATGAACTGATAGAGGTTTATAAGATCATGAGAGGTCTAGATTAGATTAATGGTAGGTGTCTTTTCCCTAGGGTGGGGAATTTCAAGACTAACGGGCACATTTTAAGGGGAGAGCAGACAGATTTAAAAAAAGGCATGGGGGCAATTTTTTTACACAGAGGGTGGTTCGTGTGTGGAATGAACTTCCAGAGGAAGTGGTGGATGCAGGTACAGTTACAGCGTTTAAAAGACATTTGGATAAGGACGTGGATAGGAAAGGTTTGGAGGGATATGGGCCGGGGCAGGCGGGTGGGACTAATTTAGTTTGGGATTATGGTCAGCACAGACTAGTTGGGCTAAAAGGCCTGTTTCTGTGCTCTATAACTCTATCACCTTTAAACAAAGAACATAGAACTGTACAGCACAGGAACGGGCCCTTCGGCCCACTATGCTGTGCAGAACATGACACCAAATTAAACTAAATCCCTTCTGTCTGCCCTTGGTCAATATCTCTCCATTCCTTGCATATCCATGTGCTTATATGTGCCACTCTCTGTGTAAAAAAACCTGCCCCTCACATCTCCTTTGAACTTTCCCCCTCTCACCTTAAATTCACACTGTCTCTTTTTAAACATTTCACCTCCAGGAAAAAAATTCTGACTGTCAACCCTATCTGTGCATCTCATAAATTTTTACACTTCGATCAAGTCTCCCCTCAGGTCCAGAGAAAACAACTTGAGTTTTTCTAGCCTCTCCTTATAGCTCACACCCTCTAATCCAGGCAGCATCCTGGTAAACCCCTTCTGCACCCTCTCCAAAGCCTCCACATCCTTCCTGTCATGTGGCTAGAAAAACTCGGGATATTTTCTCTGGAGCAGTGGAGGCTGAGGGGAGACTTGATAAGAGTCTGTAAAGTTATAACATGCACAGATAGGGTTAATGGTCAGAATCTTTTCCCCAGAATTGAAATGTCTAAAACTAGGGGGCATGCATTTAAGGTGAGGGGGGAAAAGTTGAAAAGGGATGTGAGGGGCAAGTTTTTTTTACAGAGAGTGGTAGGAGTGTGGAATACGCTGTTGGGGGTGGGTGCTGGAGGCAGATTTGATAGGGGCGTTTAAGGGGCTTTTAGATTAGCGCATGAGTATGCAAGGAATGGAGAGTTATAGACCAAGGGCAGGCAGAAGGGATTTGTTTAATTGGCATCACGTTTAGCACAACATCATGGGCCAAAGGGCCCATTCCTTGCTGTACTGTTCTATATTCTGGCACTGGACAAATAGTGTGCCACAGTTCTCATGAATTCACTGTATTTTTGCCTCATTGCTCCATGTCATAGCAGCAGATCTCACATGGAACCAGTTGGCTAAGGGACCCAGATCACCACATCAACCTTCCTAAACGCCATCTCCATGGCTGTAAGGACTAGTTTGGGGTGTTCCAAACAGAAAGACTCATCCTTTGTCTTCAAAACACCTCTGTGGTATTTATCATGTGAACGATTTATATCCCTAATGGATACAATTGTTCCCTTTCATTGGCCACTTCATCGGTATGCCTGAAGGCTCGCACTCACAACCCTGACCATATTGAAGACACACAGCTCACTGTTTAGCTCTAACTAACTCAGGCTTGTTTTCGAGCACAGAGACAGAGGACTGGTCCAAGTCAGCCTCTGTGTTCGCAATCCAGTCAAATCAAACCATTAAAGAGCCACAATCCTTATTCCAATGGTTCCGAACCAGACTTTTGAATAACTAATCCAAGGCTAATTAATTCCAGACACCAGTTTTGGATCTTAAACAAAGATTTAACAATTTATTAAATGCACAATAGCTTTAGCAGAAAGAAAATTAACCAACAAGTTCTATTTTTTTTATTCATTTGTGGGATGTGGATGTCATTGGCTGGGCCCAGCATTTATTGCCCTGTCCCTAGTTGCCCCCC